CCTGCCGCGAGCCAGGGCCCTTCCCACCTCCCTCCTCATGTCAAACCCCATGTGTCCCGCCGGGTCCCAGGGTCTGTGTGTGCCACCTGCACCCCAGCATTGCCACCCCCGTCCCCGCCTCGCTGTAAGGCTGAGAACTGGCATGGACAAAGCTCCAGAGACCGGCTGGACACCCTGGTGCAGCATCTCCCTGCGGTGCTCCCAGTCTGCCATCAGCTGTGGCACCTTTGTGGCCCCAGAGATGCTGGGAGGTCTCTAAGCACCAAAACAAGGGTCTCGTGTCCCTGTGCAAGCTCTGCTGTGTGCGGTCCAGCTGCAGGGATGCCCTGGGACCCACCTGAACGTGCACTGCCCAAATGCATGCGGGGGCCTGTTTGCATCCCTGCGCAGGGCGCCAGGCCAGGCGGCTGCCGCGGCTTGAACTCATTGTACAGCTACAGAAAAAACCCGTTTCAGAGGTTTCATCCAGTCCTGAGGCTGAAGAGCAATTGGCTTGGCCACTACCTCGTGCCCAGCGTGATCCATGCACCCATGGGTGCTGTTATGGCCAGAGACTTGTCTTGTGTCCTGCTGTGTGCTGGGCATCCTTTGACTGGGGGATCCCCCCAGGCAGAGGGACAGCAGGGATGGGGTGATGGGAGCAGCCCTGTGGGCATTTCCTGGTCCTCCTGCTGCCAAACTGAGCTGCAGTTATCTGAGACCAACAACCAACTAGTGTGCACCGATGCTGCTCAGAGGGACCCTTCTGACAGCCCAAGAGGTGTCCCAGTGACAAGCCTTGCAGCGAGCTGGCGTCCCACCGTGCTGCTCATGCTGCCCCTGGCGTCCGTCTGTCCATCCCCTTCCATCCTGTCCATCCACACCCCGTCACTCCGTCTGTAAATGGTGTTATTTGTCGCAGCTCCCCCCCGACCCCGGCCGCCCGCAGCCTTGCACCCCCATTCATTTCACCTATGATCTTGTTCTCAGCTATTTTTGAAAGCACAGCCCCCCGCCCCGGCCCTGGGGCCACCCCCTTGCCCCTGCAGCACCCATGGGCCCTGCAGCACCCATGGGTGCAGCTCTCAGTGGCCTTGAGCCCTTCCCCGGGTGGTCACTGTAGTTTAGAGCCATCTCTGAATGGCATCGATGGCTCTGAAACTCCACGGAGGTGGTTTCCCTTGGGCAGGAGAAAGAAGCAATGGTTGAACTAAATCCTGTTGCTGGATGATGCTAAATTAAGTAATGCAAGAAGGGGAGAAGAGGGCAGAGTGGCCTGGCGGGGGGGTTGGCGGCCCTGAGCCGGTGGTTGGACTCGTGCTATACCTAACGTGGCAAGACTAACCTGTTCCCTTTTTGCACTGAACCAAGGTAAGAAAACTTACTTTTTTTAAGGGGGAAAATAGGGACTGTGGACAGTTACCTCTGACAGTCATGCTGCTGGGGGGGAGCGGCTGGGGAGGAGCGGAGGGAGGTGGCAGCGATGTTCTTGGTGCTCTCCTGGTGGCAATGCCATGTGTTGGGAATGAGCTGTGATCCCTCAGAGCCGGGTGCTCGGGGATGCTGCAGTGGGGCTGTGGGACCAAGGCCATGGGGTGTCTGTCAGAGCATCCCTCACCAGCCCTGTCTGCTTCTCTCACAGACGAGATGAACGACCACCAGAACACGTTGTCCTACGTCCTGATCAATCCCCCTCCGGACACGCGGCTGGAGCTCAACGACATCGTGTAGGTGCTGCCTCTGCCCCTCTTTGCCCTTCCCTGTGCACCCAGACCTGAGATCGGAAGCTGCCCCCGTCGCATTGCTTTCATCCTTTCTCATTAAGACCAGTGGGGTCTTGCCTCCTTTCCAGGCTGTTCCCCTTCTACATGGTCCTGAGCAGTGCCCAAACTGCCCCAGGTTTACTCATCACTGCTCCGACCCCAGCACTGAGGTTTTCCCTTGGCTTATAATTCTCAAGCACAGCACCCTGGGGCATCCCTGCGTTTCCCAGCCTCCAGGATGTGGTTGCACAGCTCCTGGCTGCTCTCAGGGAACCGGGGGGGCTCCCACTGGTGTAACCAAGCTGTGCCCCACAGGTACCTGATCCGCTCCGACCCGCTGGCCCACGTGGCCAATGACGGCCACAGACGCAAGAGCAGCTA